CACACACACACACACACACACACACACACACACACACACACACACACGGGCATGACGTTGCACTGTCGTACTTACCCTACTTCAAAACTAAATAGGAACTACATTCGTATTAACAACAGCTGAAAAAAAAAAAAAATACAGTACGCAGTGCTATGCACGGTGCACGAGAGTTCTGGATGCATCGGGGCCAAATTTTCCTGCCGGGCGTCTACAAATTTCGGCAGCGGACGGTTGTTATATTATATATTCAAACTAAATACTAATACGTAAATTGCTAGTCCAGAAGGGGTCCCCTACTTTCCCCCACCCGCCGCCCCTGCCCTCCCCCAACAAAAGGCAGGGGACTGTTGCGCACGTGCGCCATGATTTCTCCCCTAATAACCAATGGACGCTATTGTGGACTGAATTGCTCTTTTTTTTTAACATATTTTATTTATTGTTTTATCGTTTCACAGATGATTACTGCAATGCTTTGGATCTCCATGCATGCAAACAAAATGCTTATTCGCTTTTTTTTTAAGTTTTTTTTCAAGTTTTTTTAACTTATTTTCTTGTCTCTCTACTTTCTCTTTGCATTCCTCATACAGCATTTTTTTATTTTTTTTTATTTTTTTTTATTTTCATACAGCATTTCCGTGATGACTGTAAGGTCTTTTAAAAACAAAAAAAAAGGGGAGGAGAGATTCACCTGCCCTCTTATCTTCTGGGTAGCGGTTGCCTTTAGAACACCGAAGGACATGGGAATCCCCTTTTTCTTTTTTGTCTTTCTTTTTTTTTCTTTTCTTTTTTTTCTTTTCTATTTTTTTTTCTTTTTTTCCTTGGGTTTCTTTTTTTTAACCTTACAATTATCAACGATTAATTCCGCACTTCCCGCCCCGGCCCGCCCCCCCCTCCACGCACTTGGCACCTGAACTAAAGACATATGAAATACGTTGCCTCTGTACTTGTTAGCCTCGATTGCTTCAGTTCCTCTGTCAGAATGTACGTGGACGTGCAGGCGACCAAGTGCATGATCTGTACCTCGACATGCAGCTGCCCAGTTGCATCTCGACAGAGGTTTTGGAAGCAACGACGCAAATTATCGGCGGCAACAACATCCCTAAACCCTAAACCAATGACTGTAATAGACAAAGTAATAGCTTGAAAAATGGATGAGTGACTGATTTCCAGGAGATCCTCATAAACGGTGACTAACGGAACAGATAGGCGGAGGAGAAAGAGAAGAACGATAAGCACGCCATGCAGAAAATTCAAGGCAATGAAACAGACGCATGCGCACGCAAGAGAGAGAGAGAGAGAGAGAGAGAGAGAGAGAGAGAGAGAGAGAGAGAGAGAGAGATGGATAGATAGATAGATAGATAGATAGATAGATAGATAGATAGATAGAGATAGATAGAGATAGATACAGATATCGCTATAGATACAAATAGATAGAGATAGATAGAGATAGAGATAGATTCATAGATAGACAGATAAAGATGGGTGGATAGAAAGATAGGCGGAGGAAGGAGAGAAGGAGAGAGAGTGGGGGGGATAGATAGATAGATGCATAGATAGATACATAGATAGATAGATAGATTGATAGATATAGA